GGACGCAGATGTAGAAGCCCTTCCTGCGGGGGGGTTTGGAGGGTTAGGGCTGAGGGTTCAGGGTTGTAGGGTCTGGGGTTTAGGGTTTGAGGTTTGGGGTTTTGGGGTTAGGGCTTTTGGGGGGTAGGGTTCAGGGTTGTAGGGTCTAGGGTTTGAGGTTTGGGGTTTTGGGGTTAGGGTTTTTGGGGGGGAGCCCATATCAACATAGGTTTCGGGTTAGGGTTTAGGGCTTATGGCCCCATTCCTGAACCCCAAACCCGATAAACCCTGTTATGCCCTCAGAACCCTATAATCCCCTCAAACCCTTAAACCCTATAAACCCTATAAACCCTATAAACCCTATAAACCCTGTAAACCCTATAAACCCTATAAGCCCTATAAACCCTATAAACCCTTAAACTCTATAAACGCTATAATTCCTGTGAACCTGGTAAACCCTGTAAACCCTAAACACTGAGCGCTAAGCCCTAAACCCCACCCCAAAACGTATAACCATCTAACTTGGGATGTTCCCCTATACTAACAGTCCTTAATTAATCGTGATTCTATGAGGGGATACTCTAATCCCGATTAAGGACTGTTGGAATACGTGGGAACATCCCAACCTAGAACCTAAACCCTAAACCCTAAACCCTAGAACCCTAGAACCCAGAACCCTAAACCTAGAACCTTGAACCTTGAATCCTAAACCCTAAACCCTAAACCCTAAACCCTAAACCCTAAACCCTAAACCCTAAACCCCAAACCCCACAGAAAGTAACAAACGTTTTCCCAAAACAATCCAAGCATCGCGGCGGCTACACCCAAGAGGACCCCGACGCCGGAGGCGACCTTTTAGGGTTTAGGGTTTAGGGTGTTAGGGTGTTAGGGTGTTAGGGTGTTAGGGTGTTAGGGTGTTAGGGTGTTAGGGTGTTAGGGTGTGAGGGTGTGAGGATGTGAGGGTGGTAGGGTGGTAGGGTGGTAGGGTGGTAGGGTGCAGGGTTTAGGGTTTAGGGTTTAGGGTGCTTTTGCTTCTTTGGCGCAAGGGTTTCGGGTTTTGGGTTTTGGGGTGTTGGGGAATTGGGGTATTAGGGTGTTAGGATTTAGGCGTTTCGCGTGCGTACGATTAGAAATTCAAGAGCCTACTTATAGCCCTGCATCCTAGACCTGTTTCAGGGCCTAGGGTTTTCAGGGATTTTGTTTTTTGTTATTATTTTCATTATTACTCTTATTACTACTATTACTATTACCATTACCAGTACTATTACCATTGCTATTGCTATTACTATTGATACTACTATTACTAGTACTCTTATTATTACGATTACGATTACTATTGCTATTATTATTACGATGACTATTGCACTTGCTATTACTATTGCTTGTACTAGTATGGTCTTGTTTTTTTTGGGGGGGGTAGGGCTTGGGCTCCGGCTTGGCTTTCGCGGATTGATCCCTGAACCCTGACACCCTTTGAAGCCTTTAGGGTTTAGGGGTTTAGGGTTTAAGGTTTAAGGGTTCAAAGGGTTTAAGGGTTTAAGGGTTTTAGGGTGGAAGGGTTTAAGGGGTTAGGGTTTAGGGTTTTAGGGATTGCAAAGGCCGGTGGCCTCTTTATCTGTGACCCTTGTACCTTAACAGAGCCTCTAGATCCTTGGGGACGAAATGAACCCTACAAGGGTGTATGGGTTCATATACCTTAGTAGGAATTGTACTAGTATAGGGTATATGACCCCAATTTTAGGGTTCATGTGGGACCCTAGATACCTAGTAAGAAACCCAATATATGCCCCTATAAAACAGACCACCAATCCATAGAAAGCCTGGATGTTCAGGCCTAAACCCTAAACTCTAAACCCTAAACCGAAATTTTAAGCCCTAAACCCTAGACCCAGAATGGCCTGGATGTTCAGGTTGAAGTTGTAGAGAAAGATGCCGCTCAGGAGGCCCAAAGCAAAGCCCATCGCAAAGGTCCAGACAGCCACCGCGGGAACTCCAGAAGAAAAGCCTGGGCTAAGGGGTTTAGGGTTTAGGGGGTTTATCGGGTTTATAGGGTTTATAGGGTTTATAGGGGTTTATAGGGGTTTATAGGGTCTATAGGGTTTATAGGGTTTATAGGGTTTACAGGGTTGATAGGGTTTACAGGGTTTATAGGGTTTATAGGGTTTAGGGCTAAGGGGTTTAGGTTTTAAGGTGATTAAAGCCTGAACGAGTACTAAGGTGAACTGCCATCTAGGGCAGGAGGTCTACTAAACTCTAAGCTCTAAACCCTATCCTAACCTGAGCAACCCAAACCCCCCCCCCCCCCCCTAACACTATTTTGTGGGTTCTTGGTCGCCTTACTTGCCTGCCTTGCTTTGAGGGTTAGGTTTTCCGGCGGCCCCAAATAAAAACCACCTCCGAAGCGAAACGTGGAGAAGGCTAGGGCAGGCGCAGTGAACTTACACGTTTTGTCTATGTTTATTCAACATACTCCTTGGGCATACCACTTGAAAGAAATACGGGGCTATGGTAAAGTTCGTTGTGTATAATCAACTTTTAGGTTAACTGGTATGGGTTGGCGTACTTTGAATGTTTCTTATATTTTGAATTAACCCTCAGGTGGTAGTGGATTGAGGGTTGAGGACTTGGGGGGGCCTTGGATCCCTGGCAACCCCCCGAGCCCCAAACCCTAAACCCTAAACCCTAAACCCTAAACCCTGAGGAATCTGGCAGCAGATATAGGAGAGCCAAGCGCTGTAGGCAAAGCAGAAGCATCCCGCGAGAGATGCGAGTGCGCCCTGGAATTCTTCCTGAGTAGGGTTTAGGGTTTAGGGTTTAAGGTTTAGGTCTGTTGGTTTGGGGGGGCATTCTTTGGTTTGGGGGTTTAGGGCTCAACGGGGTGGAGTTAAACTGTTCAAGTCAATTCGAGGGGGGGGGGGTGTTGATGATCTAAATGATAATGGGCTTAAGCACTTAAGCACCCTTTACCTTAAACGTCGTATCGCAGAGATCCCAACAAGGTGCCCTGCCTAGACCCGAACCCCAAAACCCTCAACCCAAATCCCTAATCCCGAAACCCTAAACCCTAAACCCTAAAGCCCTAAACCCTAAACCCTAAACCCTAAACCCTAATGCTGTGCTCTAGAACTCCAAGCATCAGGTTGGGGTACTGCCCAAGTCCACCTCGAGAGCTTCAGGGTGGCGGACGTAGGGGACGAAGACCGAAGGTTGGGCTTAGGGTTTAGGGTTTAGGGTTTAGGGTTTAGGGTTTAGGGTTTAGGGGTTTAGGGTTTAGGGTTTCGTTTTTAGGGTATTCCCTAACCCTACAATACCCTCAACACCAAATCCTAAAGCCGTTTAGTCTAGCCTCCCCTGGACTCCCTTGATAGGGTTGAGCTTAGGGAGGGCGGGGATGGGGAGTTGAGAGTTGAGAGCTGAGTGCGCAGGCAGGTGTTTAGGCTCTGGGTAAGCCTAAACCCTAAACCCTAAAGTCTAAACCCTAAACCTAAACACTAAACCCTCAACCCAGGTTTTAGGGTTTCGGGTGTTGGGCATTGGGCCTAGGCTCCTGAGCCCAAAGCTTCAGGTTCAAAGGCTCAGCATTTCGGGTGCAGGGCTTAGGGCTTAGGGTTTAGGGTTTAGGGTTCAGGGTTTAGGGTTAGGGTACCCAGATCCCTCAACCCTTTAGTGAAGACACTCTGCAAGTAAAGGTTCGGGGCGGAAGCGGCTCTCACAACTTAGAGTGGTATTCATATCAGGTATATCGGGTTTAGGTTAAGGGGTTTAAGCCTCAAACTGAATGGTGAGTCTTCAGACAGCGCATGCCGGATGTGAACTTTCCGGTCCGTGCAACGTTCAAGACAGTCTCCTTACTGGATCTTAGTACGGCATCCAGGGGAATGAAGGCCCCTACGTACGCCATTGAAGGGTAATGTAGGGCTATAGGTACCTCATTCAGAACTAGTCGGGTTTAGGGTTTAGGGTTAGGGTTTAGGGTTTAATTAGCGCAGCGGCTGACGGGGGTTGACCTTAGGGTTTGACTGTTCCGGACCAATAAGCCCCGAAGGCCAAAGCCGGAGGGGGCGTTCAAGGCTGAAGTTCATTGCACACCTTTGCAAAGACCTAAGTCCTAAACCTTAAACCCTAAACCCTAAACCACAAACCCTAAACCCTAAACCCTAAGCCCAAACCCTTAAACCCTCCAAGCTGCCTCTCTTGCAGCTCGGACGTGACGGCCGTGCTGGTCCTAGTCCGTGCTGCTGTCTGACCATGATGGGTGGAGGCTGACCTGGATTTCGGCTGGATGCGCGGTTTAGGGTTTAGGGTTTAGGGTTTAGGGTTTAGGGTTTAGGGTTTAGGGTTTAGGGTTTAGGGTTTAGGGTGTAGGGCTTAGGTCTTCAGGAGTTCTAGGATTTAAGCTTTCTAGACAATTCGGGCTTTATTTGATTTTGAGCGTGACCATCTTCAGATTTGCGGTTTCGGAGCTTTTTTATGAGGGGGTGTTCTGGGGGGTGTTTGTTTTTTACTTATAAGGTAATCTTACTATTTGGGCTAAACCCTAAACCCTAAACCCTAAACCCTAAACCCTAAACCCTAAACCCTAAACCCGCTTCCCGAGCCGGGCGGCTTCTTTGCCGGCCGCGCTGGGCCCCTGCGGAAAGTGAAGGCAGTGCAGCTGCCCATACGCCCTGGATGTAGGGATGATGGAAGCCACCTTCTGTCGATCACCTGGCTGGGTTTGGGGTTTGGGGTTTAGGGTTTAGGGTTTAGGGTTTAGGGTTTAGGGTTTAGGTTTAGGGTTTAGGGTTTAGGGTTTAGGGTTTAGGGTTTAGGGTTTAGGGTTTAGGGTTTAGGGTTTAGGGTTTAGGGTTGCCGTAGGTTTTTGGGACCTTCAGGGCTCTCCGGCATCGATGCACCTATCTCCAGCGTACGTTCCGGAGGTGATGGAGGTAGGTGGGATGAGTCAGCGTACGCACTGCATTGAATGCACAAGTCTCTTGTCCTATGTGTGGAGTTTGCTTCGTTGCACCAAGAATCGCATCATGCATGCCCTCTGCGGCAACGGTCGAGGTAGCTCCAAAGGCAAAACAAACAAAGGCTCTCAGATGCAGAATGCTCTCAACTTAGATAGGGAAGTGCAGTATATGGAGGAGGTACGCAATGCCTTACCAGAAGCCGCCAAGATTAGAATGATGCCCCAGCTTGTGCAAAGCGAATGGAGCGCCCCTATCCGTTCATACACAGACATGTCCGATGAGGGAGGCGTTTGCATTGTGCATAAGGACCAGGTGCCAACGGTTTTGCGGGCCGTGGGATACACCCTGGCTCCCACAGCCATCCTAACCACACAGCATGCGCAGGCCCTTGGTCTCAAACACTATCCTTGTGCCAAAGTCACGTGCCTTTTGAGGGTTCGTGATGAACATGGTGATTTCATCGAAGTCACAGTGCAGAGGCATTTGATCCAGCTAAGCTTTGGCCCTCCTGTCACCATGGCAGCGGAAGGGGAGCAGATCCTGTTAGCTGTGCCTATGCATCGTGTGGTGATCAAAATGCCGGCTTGCTTTGGATGGACGCCCGAGGCCCTCACAGGCGCCTCTATTGCTGCGATCCTTGCACGCCATGTCCCGGCTCCAGCTTGTGAGGATATCCTTGTGCGACAGGACCAGTCCGCAACTGCGATGATTCACGAATCCGTCCTCCCGAAACTCATGCAATGCAGCGGCAAAGATGGGGTGTTTGTTTTTAAACACATGCCACCTCAAGCTACTTCCCAGAAATGCACATGCTTTGGCTCTCAGAGGACGCCAGCCTTGACCAGGCTTTGGACCTGGCCAGCAAGAACGACCATTGCTATGGGATCGCAGCAAAGAACGCTGCTCACAAGCCAAGATTTGCACTCAGGTTCCTCGATGTCCATGAGTTTCGCTCCGCTGCAAAAAAGCTTGGGCTGCCAGACTCGTCAGAGTTGGGGAGGTGGAGGCTCAGTGGACTGCCAGTTCAGTGTGGGATGGCTGGCGCACTCACGCTGCTTGAATCCAAGCAGTGGCAAGTCGTGGAGATTTTATACTTCTCCGAGGTGCAATGCGTCTTCCTATCCAAAACCCCGGGAAGCACCGGCCCTATGTTTTACCAGCAGGCTCAGGGGCACCGTAAGCAACTTGTCTTCAAAGCTCTCAACGCGTTGGCGCGACAGCAACTTGCCGATGCGAACAAAAATGCCAGAGCTTCAGCAGCCGCTCCGCCTCAGGATGTCGCACTTGCAGCGCGCCCCTCCAGGGCAGTTGAACGTGACAGGTGGCTCCGTCAGGTGGTGCCGCCGTTGGCAACTCGTGCTGCTGGAAAGGCAGAGGAGGTCACCCCCAGGCATGAGGAGAAAGAAAAGCGTCCTTCGCACCAGCACACGGGAGAAATGCCCGATGCTCAGAGGATGCGCACTAACTAAGCTCAACAACTGCAAGTCTCACCTTTCTTGCTTATGGTTCCTGCCTAGCAGAACCCGCAATCGTTACATGCACGCCTTACATGGCAATGCTGCGAGAGGCTGTGTGCGTGGCAGACGCGCTACAGACCATGATGCTTCTCTCATTGCCTCACGCCACTTGGCACCACCGACTAGTCAGGGATCAGCACAGTTGCAGAACGCTCACGAGAAGCCTTTCTCTTGCCTTACTCTTAATACTGGGGGGTTCAACAATGCAGCCAAATGGGCTGCCGTCCGCACTCTCAAACAGGACATCATTATCCTTACTGAGACTCAACTTCAGACTCACTCTTATCGCAACATCACTCACCAATTCAAAGATTTTCATTGCATTCACTCGCTGGGGAAAGATGCAAAGCATTTTACTGGTGTGACCATTCTTATCCGTCGTGATGCAGTTTGGGCTGTCCGTCCCGTCACCTGGCCTCGGGACCACCCATGCCGAGCTTTCTATGAAGACAATAGATTAGTCGCCGCGCAAGTTTTTCTAGGGGCGGGTAATATTTCCCTTTTCATTTTTGGGCTTTACGCCCCAAGCGGCAGCCGCTGGGAGGCGGCAAAAAGGAGGTATCTCCGCAGCATGCTGCATGCTATGCAGCAGGATTTAGTTGAAAGAGGCCCAGTTTTGGCCGTCCTTGCCGGAGATTTTAACATGCCTACGGCAGAAGACACGGTCTTCGAAATTTTTTGTCAAGCCGGCCCTTGGCATGACTGCCATAAGTGTGCCACGCCTGATATGCGAAATGCACCCACTTGTCACCAAGGCCAAGGCTCCAGAATCGATTTTATCCTTGCTTCATATTCTGCCTTCGACCTTGCTTCTTGCTATCGGGTGACACCCCTTGTTCTCTTTCCTACGCATTCCGCAGTGTGCCTTGACCTGCAGATGCCGCGCGCTTCCCAGATGCGGCATACGCTCAGATCAGCAGCAAACCTGCCTTCCTTGGTCCCCCCTAAGCCCGCCGACGCTTTGCTTTTTCCTAAAATCCCCAAGACGTTTCGTGCTGCTTTAGCCAGGCTGGACCTTGATGCCGCTTTGCGCATATGGAACCGGCTTGCAGAAGATACGCTGATGGACCTTGCCACCTCCCAAGGACACGTTGTTCAATCCAAAGTCACGATGCGAGGTGACATTAAGTACCAGGAAGATCGCGCCAACCCTCCTGTTTTTGCTGACCAGGCAAGCACGCTGATAGACCGCAGACTCTACAAGGCGATCTGTCGTGCTAAAGAAGTCGCTCAGGCGCAACCAGGTTATAGGCGTGACCGCACCTGGTCTCTCCTGAATGAGGTGACTCAGCACTTGCCACACCCCTACCAGCAGTTGGTTCACGAGGCACTGCTTGCTCCTGCGTCCCCTCATGCTGCAGCAGCGGTGTCGAAGCATCTCCGTCGTGCTGCTGAAAAACTTGCTTCTGATAATCGTACTGCGAGGATCCAGGAGTGGAAGAAACAGATGCGTAAAACTACTGCCGCTAGCACTTCCTGGTTGAAGGCCAAGGCTGCTAAGCCCCTTGTAAAAGTTACTCAACACAAGGGCGAAACCACTGCCGAAGTTGGCCGTAGACTTGAACTCATCCAGAAATGTTGGGATAGCATATACCAAGCCCATAAGAAGGGTGAGCCGTCCTTACATTCGTTTATGGAGTCATATGGTGCCACGCTCTCCAGAGCTATGTGCTCTCTCCCCCCGTTAACTGGGGATGACCTGCGTGCGCAACTCAAAATCTGCAAGCGAACATGTTCCGGCCCGGACTGCTGGTCGTTTGAGGAGTTGCAATCCCTGGCCCTTTGGGCTCCTTCCTTGCTGGATTGCCTCTCTGACTTGCTCAACGCAGTTGAGCGCACAGGCAAGTGGCCTATACCGCTCTGTACAGGTGCGGTTTCTTTTCTGCCAAAAGAAACCGACGAAGCGTTTCCAACCCCCCTTGATCACCGGCCAATTACTGTATTAAGCTCAATATATCGCCTTTGGTCGTCCACCCGCCACTCACAGCTTGCAACTCAGTGGCAACCACGCTGGGCTTCTTCTCGCATTTTTGGTCTCAAAGGCGGCCGTTCCGCCGATGAGTTGGTGCTACAGACTTGCATGACGCTGACAGAGGCTAAGGCCTCTGGGCAACACACAGGTGGATTATCGTTTGATTTTCAAAAGGCATTTGACTATGTCCCGTATGGTTTGGCCATCAACCTGTTTAGGATGAGAGGGGCCGATGATAATATATGTAGAGCCTTGACAAATTTTTATAATCAACATACCAAAATTTTTAAATTAGATGGCGCTGTCCACCCCCCATATCGTGCTGCAAATGGCATCATTCAGGGATGCCCGATGAGTATGTTGTTACTCACAAGCCTAACCCAAGCTTGGCATGAGCATCTGAGCGCCTCTCAGCCTCAGGTGGAATCCAAGTCATATGCTGATGACTTGTCTGCAACTACGAAAGCGGCGACACGCCCTCTCCTCATTGCTGAGCTTACTAAGGTTCACCAGCACACACAGCGCTTCGCCGACTTGTCGGGCCTGCGCATAAGCGCGCCGAAATCTTTTTCTTTTGGGGATATCCAGCTCAAGGGAAAAATTCCTGGGCTGCGAAACCATCAAACTGAGTTTCGGCTTACGGGAGGTAGTGTCGAAATAGGGAATGCCAAAAAGTGGACAGTGTTGGAGAAGAAACGTGCTAGCAAATGGTGCGAAACTGTCAGCAACATCGGCAAGCTGCCGTTCGGATGGTTTGCAAAGGTTAAGCAGGTCATGCCGCAGCTTACGTATGGTCAGGGCACGCATGCACTTGCCGCCAGCTGGGTGACACTGCGCTCACTGAGAGCGGAATGCGTGCGCTCGCTCCTTGGCACCAAAGATTACAGCGCCTCGCCTCTTATGGTTTTCACTCTCTTGGCTCCTCCCTCGCTTGAACCTGAGTTCGCACTGCAATACGCTGCGCTTGGGTTATTTAAGAGGTTCCTTAAGTGCCCTACTGCACGCCGCCAACTGCAGAATGCCCTGGCATCGCACCCAGCTTCTTGCGATGGCCCTGTGGCGCGGGCGCGCCAACTCCGTGACTCAAGCATCTTTGGGAAATTTTTCCAAGAAATTTTGGCAGGACGACAGCTTGCGCAGGACTGGCAACATCAGTTGCGAGAGAAGTGGCGTTTGCATGCACTGGCCATAGTGTCTAGGGATCGTGCGCAGCATTTTGGAGGCGTCCGAAATAACATCCAGCGCGAGCTCACTTGTTCTCTCCTGCGTCAGTGGACAGATCAGGCTGACCAGTTGCAGTGCTTGATCGATTCAGGCTTACAAACTAACCCCGACCCGAACAAGGACCCTAAAAGTTTTGCGGCTCCTCCTGGTAGGAGGACTCATGAACCCCGAGAAGGATGCCAGGCACAGGCGCAAAGGTCAGGCCGTGTGTGCGTGCGGAGGCACGCCAACAGTCGAGCATATCTCTTGGACTTGTCCGAAGTTTGCCACGCTGCGCCAGCCGGCGATAGCCAACCTCCCTTGCGCCACCTCTGCCTTGCCAATTTGTTTTCGGTCGTGCACGATTGTGCCCCATTCCATGCGCATTGGTATCAATGCCTTGCATGCCATTCAATCTGCGCTTGTTGATGTTTGGCAGGCACATATCACTGAATGGACACAAGCCTCGGATGACACCACCATGGCGCCCAATCAGCCGGGTGACGAGAGGCCTCCCGAGCGGTCAGCTGATGCTCAACCCCAGCAAGCTAGGCCTGTTGAACGCAAGGGGCACGTTCTGCATTCCACTGCATCCGGACGTACCTTCTGCGTCAAATGTGGTCGACAAACCCAATATCCCAAACATGTACGATCCAAAATTTTAAAAACTCCCTGCCCCTTCCCTAACTTGCCAGAAGCGGAATGGCTCTCAGAACCAGGCCACATGCAGTCGGCATCTCGCCTGGACGAGCAAGAACGTAAACTTCGGCAAGACCACAACCAAGGCAATCACACAATCCACTGGAACAGACAAACGGGCAAGGATCGTCGAAAGGCCAATTACGGCGAAATTTATTGCAGCAGATGTGGCCGAAGATGGGGATGGATGTATCGACATAACAACTTTCGACGAACTCAGTGTTTCGAAAACTCCGATGCCCTCAATCCTCCCTCTTGGTTCCAGAGGAATGAAGATGTGTCTGCGGCTGCGCCAGCTGCGCAGTCCGCACATGTTCACGACCCCAGGGTCGGTGAGCGACCTGTAAATAATGATCCCACCGTTAATAACCCACCCGCTAGCCTGCAGCCCAGAGCACGAAGGCGCCGCAGGTACAAGGCTAGCGCTGTGCATGCACCAAGTGCGCCCCAGGAGCGCAACACGACATCTCATCGGCACAACGACACACTGCAGTCAGAGCAGAGAGCACATGTCCAGAACAGAGAGCTTCCTTCGAGCTCGCGAGACGTTCCCCGTATGGGGATCGGTTGAGTGAGCCTTCCAGAGAGGGGGGGGGACGTGTGCCCCGTCGCTCAGACAAGCCACTTCTACTTTTGGGACCTTCAGGGCTTTAAGGTTTTGAGGTTGTAGGGCTGTCGGGGCTTAACATTGGGGGTGAACAGTGAGCTTGCCCTAAACCCTAAACCCTAAACCCTAAACCCTAAACCCTAAACCCTAAACCCTAAACCCTAAACCCTAAACCCTCTCTTTTGCCTACAGGTTATGGGTTCCTAAACCCCCAAACCGTAAAAACCCTAAACCTTAAACCCTCAATGTAAGGTAAAAATGACTTCTTTTGGGCAAAGGATCATTTCTGCACATTGCGGGGGCTTAGGGTTCAGGGTTGGGTGTGGGTTTTAGGGTCTCTGCTTGGCTGCACTTAGGAGGGTAGCTATAAATGAAATTCTTAGCCGCCTTATTAAGAAACCCAGTAAACCCAAAAGGCTAAGGATCTAAAGTTACAGCAAAGCAAAGTCTGCTGGATCTGCCCCTAAACCC